TAGATTTAAAACAATGGAATAAGGAGGTTTTTGGCCTCTTGGATGGGTAGAAGGCAACGGTGTTGGCTCAATTGCAGGCCTTGGATGCTATGGAAGCCGATGTGGGTTTGGCTGATGAGGAGGTGGCTCGTAAGGAGTGTTTGCGGGCTGATTTTACCCGGATTGCTCAGATGGAGGTCAGTTTCAGGCAGAAATCTCGTTGTTCGTGGCTGAAAGAAGGGGACTGGAATACAAAGTTTTTCCATCGGATGGCAAATGCACATCGACGGGTGAATCATATTGGGCCGAATCGGATTAATGGGGTGGAGTTGATAGAGGACGAGGCGGTTCGCACGGGGATTGTTGGATTTTATGCGCACTTGTTTCGGCAGCCGGAGGAGGGGTAGTGTCCGGGGATTGATTGTTTGGATTTTGGTATGTTTTCCAATTCGGCCGGCCTGGAAGAGCCATTTTCGGAACAGGAGGTGTTAGGTGCTTTGAAAGGGATGAGTGGTGATAAGGCTCCGAGTTTGAATGGATTTACTATAGCATTTTTCCAACATTGCTGGGAGGTTGTAAAGGGCAATGTGTTAGCAATCATGGCACAGTTTTATCAGACAGGTCAGTTTGGGGAGAGCTTCAATGTGACTTTTATTACTTTGATTCCTAAGGTGGGAGGGGTCACGGATATTCGTTTGTTTCGTCCTATTAGTTTGTTGGGTAGTGTGTACAAGTTGTTGGCAAAAGTTTTGGCTAATAGGCTTCGTCTGCAGGTGGGGGAGGTAGTGTCGGAATCCCAAAATGCTTTTGTGGGTGGTCGACAGATTCTGGATGTGGTTTTAGTGGCTAATGAGTGTATGGATTCTCATTTGCGCAAAGGTCATCTAAGTGTGATTTGTAAGTTGGATATTGAAAAGGCTTGTGATAATGTCAGCTGGGATTTTTTGCTGGCTGTTATGGAGCGCATGGGTTTTGGGGCACGGTGGAAGTGGTGGATTTGGTTTTGTATTTCGACGGTGAGGATGTCTGTATTGGTGAATGGGACGCCGGCGGGTTACTTCCAGACGTTTAGGGATTTGTGCCAAGGGGATCCGCTGTCCCCTCTGTTATTTATTCTAGTCATGGAGGCACTCAGTCAGTTGTTGTCTCGAGCGGTGCAGGTGGGTTTGTTGGAGGGTTTTTTGTGGCAGATGGGGTTGGTATTTCTCACATTTTGTATGCTGATGATGTTTTGATTTTTTGTGGGGCTGATTCAAAGTAGCTGGGGTATTTGCGTTGTGTTTTGCTATGTTTTGAGGTGGTCTGAAAGTCAATTTGACAAAGTCAAAGTTGATTCCAGTTGGGGAGGTGGTCCATCTTCCGTCTTTGGCGGCTATTTTGGGTTGTAAGGTGTCTCATTTGCCTGTGTCTTATTTGGGGTTGCCTTTGGGGGCACCTTATAAGGCGAAAGGGTTGTGGGATGGGGTGTTGGAAAGGGTTAAGTGCCGGCTTGCGGGGTGGAAGAGGCAGTATTTGTCTGAGGGAGGGAGGCTCACCTTGGTGAAGAGTGTGCTGGGTAGTTTCCTGACTTATTTTATGTCAATTCATGTCATTCCTGTATCGGTGGCTCAGCAGTTGGAAAGGTTGTAGCGTGATTTTTTGTGGAGAAGTGATGGTGGAGGGTTTTGATATCATCTCGTTAATTGGGAGCAGATTTGTTGCTCTAAGAAAGCTAGGGGGCTGGGGGTGCGAAGGTTGTGTAAGTTTAATTTGGCTTTGTTGGGGAAGTGGCTATGGTGGTTTTCTAAGGAGCGGGACCGTTTGTGGCACAGGGTGGTGGCCTCCACGTATGGGTTGGGAAGGGGAGAGTGGTGTACTAGGGTGGTAGGGAGCTCTCATGGGTGTGGGTTATGGAAGGGGATTTGGCTGGGGAGGGTTCAATTCTGGGAGCGAGTCCAGTTTCAGGTAGGCAGTGGAGCTCGAGTGCAGTTTTGGAAGGATAAGTGGTGTGGGGAGGTTACCCTTCATGAGCGTTTTCCTTTGATCTATCGGTTGGTGAGGGACTCGGAAGTGTTGGTGGCTTCTTGTTTGGGCGGAAGTGGTACGGAGTTTATTTGGGATATTGTTCTTCGTTGCCATACTCGGGATTAGGAAGTAGGGCAGTTGGCGGAGTTGATAATCTTTTTGTATGGGGTCCAAGTAGGCCGAGAGGGGGAGGATGATGTGGTTTGGGGAGTTCCTGGGGCTAAAGGTGTTTTTTCAGTCTCGTCTTTTTATTTGTCCTTGTGTGGTGGTAGCGGGGGAGTGTTCCCTTGGCATGGTGTGTGAGTTTCTGGTGTTCTATCGAAGGTGGCTTTCTTTGTGTGGACAACCGCATTTGGTCGGATCTTGACTATTTAATAATCTGATTTGTCGGCATCATATTCTGGTTAATTTGTGTTGCATGTGTTGTGCGGATGTGGAGACAATAGACCATTTGTTGATTCATTGCCCGGTTGTATCTCGTTTGTGGGCGCTTGTTTTCTCTTTGTTTGGTGTGGCGTGGGTTCGACCGAGTCTGTTTGGTGTGGTGTGGGTTCAACCGAGGCAAGTTATGGATGTGTTGCGTTGTTGAGGGGGTGATCGAGTTGGGAAGCGGCGTCGGTGGGCTTGGGCATTAGCGCCTTTGTGTTTGATGTGGTTGGTGTGGTTGGAGCGGAACTATCGGATTTTTCAGGGAAGCGCTTAGTCTGTCGTACGTTTAGAGTCTCGCTTCTTGGGTATTTTGTACAACTGGGTGTTAGGAAGAGTGAATCCTGATTTATTTGTTCTTTTAGACTTTGTTGATGTTATAGTTTAGGCCCTTGCTTTTCGTAGGGTTGGTTTTGTATTCTTTTAACATCTTCTTGATGCTGTGGTTATAAAATTTCATTTATCAAAAAAAAAAAAAAAAAAAATGTAATATACCCATGCACAAAAATTTTCAAAAAAACAAATGGGTATTTTTTTTTTTTTTAAATTCGACTGTCTGATTTCAATGAAACTTTGTAGATATATTCTACATATCATGGACTACAATATATATCAATATCATGCCGATTGGACATAGTATGAAATACATCAATTTTCTTTCATGAAACACACGTGTACATTTTTTAATGATTACATATATGGTGCAAATCATATTTCATCACACGTGTACATTTTTTAATGATTACATATATGGTGCAAATCATATTTCATGCATAAAACAACACGAAAACACTCAAGAGGGCTTTGATTCCAATGTAGGAAATAATAATATGCAACGGAAAAATGGATTCAGGTTACCTTTGACATTAAATCGAATCCATGGATCATCGGGTGAATCACATGCTCTCAATGATGAACTCGAACCTTACCCAATGATGGAGTAGAACTACTAGAAAATTACCCACACTATTCACAGTACAGAGGCATGATTCGTTCTCTAATGATAGAGAGTTTGGAGAGAGATTTTCTGGTCTTACAAAATACATAATATCTATCTTTATTATATTGTGAGAGATGTAACCAGCCATAACTCTATCTCCTTATAAGATGAGATAGTGGGTTATTCATACTTATCCCAAGGATAAGGTGGTTTGAGATTCAAACTAACAGGATCTCTGAATGGGTTATGGGTCATGCCACCATGGGCACCCAAACTTGGATTCGAAACCCGACCTGATTTCGGGTAGGTAGTGATTCAATTTGGCTTCTGAAGTCTAGGTCCAATGTCAAAGCATCAAGTGATTTGGTTATGTAGGATAGCTTGCTGGATTTTCTTAATACAGGTTATTAAAGGCCTAAATAGCGAGTAATTTAGAGTTTGAATGGTCGAATTGAAGGCTAATAGGTAGGAGAGGGAACTAGAGTTGATTTAGAGGTGATATGATAGGGTTTTGGGACTGAAAAGTGCACTTTTAGATGGCTGTAAATAGTAACCCGAAAATTGTAACTTGGGCATGTGTGAAGAAAGACGTAAACTTGAAAACAAAAAAGGAAGAAAGAGAAGGAGAAGAAGAGAGGAAAAGAGGTGCTTCACCCTTCCAAGGGTTGGGCCAATCACACACAAACAATCTCAAATTCTCATCATATCAACTCTTCATTGAATGATTGAGATTATACATATATTTATACAGTAAAGATTGTCCTACTTCCACAAGTACTACAACTCAAATTTAGAAAATAAGAATATTAGGTAATTACAAATATTCTAGATCAATTATGACTATGCCTTCTATTTCTACTTCAACTATGATAGAAAACTTAATGACTTCTAATTCTATTCTAACCATAACATGAATTCAAAATAGGAAAATTCGATCTTTTTGACCACTAAGACTATTCTAAACATAATAAAAACAAAAATAATGACCATTTTAATAACTTGACCCAACATAAAACTCATGGGTGATCCCTACAACCCATGTCCAACAATGATTGAAATTACCATAATACTACTAAGTAATAAAACCTGCTATAATGACATAAATTTGTTCAACAATGCAACAAATTAGAATAAATACAAATAAAAACTCAAAATTATGCCAAAATTTTAATTTTTGATGCCTTAAACGTGCTTCATGTGAAATTCCAGATTTGCCATTTTTCTTCTTTTCATGTTCGCCATCATTTGGTCTATAGAAAGTGACCAACATGGCTTAGCTTGGGAGGGAGCAAGTACTGGAGGCATGTCTTCTCATTTTGGAGGTCCATATCTCACATATAATGCCTGACATATGGGGGCTCTTGTTGATGTGGAAGTTAATCCATGGTCTTCATCACTTTCTGGAGCTTTTGTTAGATAGCAGATTTTGGAAGTTAATTCTCTCTTTTTCTCTCTGAATTCATAATTCTTCTGATGTTTTGTACACTTAACAGTTAAAACTTCCTATTGCTTTAGTATGTATATTGTTGTAAATTCTGAGATAAAGTTCATTCGGTTATGGTTTGTGAAAGAAGTCCTGACGATGTGGTTTACTATATCCTTAGCTAGTTCTCTAATGAGTACTAACAGCTTGTGTTAAACCTTAATTCAGACGAAGGTTGGCTGTGGACAACACTCCATCCCACCATATGGAAACGTCCATGTTGCAGCAGGTGGTCCCACCACAGGAGAGTTATTCACAAAGTCGGGCAGTTGCTCTTCAAAATGTTGAATCCACAATTTCAGAACTTGGTGGGATTTTCACACATTTGGCTACAATGGTTGCACAACAAGGGGAATTGGCTATCAGGTTTGCTCTTTTTGCATGAAAATCTGATGCTTATATATTATTACGTCTTTTATTTGTAAACTTATATAGCTGTATGACTTCTGAAGTACAAAGAAGGAAATTAGATTTCAATACAAGAAATTTAAATGTTTGTGGCATTCCCGATTGAATCTTATACTTTCATTGTCTTTAGTATAGAATTAAGTCGTTCTCTCTCTCTCCCCCCTTTTAAACTCAAGTTTTCTTGTATTTAACTGCCTATTTATGTGATCAGGATCGATGATAACATGGAGGAGTCATTGTCAAATGTTGAAAGTGCTCGCAGTTCTCTGTTGAGGCATTTAAACCAAATATCATCAAACAGGTGGCTCATGATTAAAATATTTGCCATTTTGATTTTTTTCTTGATCGTTTTTATCTTCTTTGTGGTTTAATGTGTACCCCAATGAGAACCCTCGTATAATCGTATAATTACTGACATCTGGTATTCTGCACCAATGTCATTCCATTGAAGGTCTGACATATTCTTCCTACCCATTGATAGCTTATTTGTCAAGTATAGGTTGCTCATTATTGGAATTGGGGAGTATATAGCCCTTACTCTCTTGTACATATGCTTGTTGCTTCATTTTGAATGTTGGTTATACCTTCTTGTTGAAGCTTCTGCCTGCTTAAGGAAGCATGTTTAATGCCACATTTGTTTTTTGAGTTTCTTTATAATGAAAATATATTCCATTACCATTTGGGGGAACATTTAAGCTTTTAATTGCTTTGGTTGGTGTTGATTTCATATTTGCAGGTTCTACTGTGATATTTGAGAACATTCTTTTGAACCACCAAAAGATAAAAATAACTTTAAGAAATAAATTTTTTTTTTTCATTGACTGGTTTCTGCAATGGTATATTTTTGCGCCTAAGGCTAAAATTCTGCGGAAACCATGGATAACTAGAATCCGGGCTCCCATTCTGAGGTCGGTGTTTCTCATGTATAATGCAACAAGAAGTTCCAGTGACTGATAACATCCACTAACTTCTTGTAGCTGGTTAGCATACTTCAGAGTCTGTAGTAACAAACACCTCATTGTTCTCTGAGCTTCAATATTTATTTATTTATTTTTGCAATTGAATCAAACAGTTTTAGGTTGCAGCACTTAGCGGTGTTCACGGGTCGGTTCGGATCGGTTTCACTATCAACTCGCCACCCGAACCGACCATCACGGGTGGGGGAATTTAACATCCGATTTCGACCGCAGGCAGTTCGAAATCGCAAGCATCGGGCCTTATGGTTTGTCGGTTGGAATCGGTTGAATTCTCGGGTGATTTTTCCGTCAACAGCTTATCCTCCTCTCACGCATAAACAGATATACATACAGACAGATTTGTGAAAGACTAAGAAAGTGAGAAGAATGTTGCGGTATGCTGTTGACATTCATAGCTGTTCGATCTAATCCAAGAGCATCAAAATAGAGCGATCTGGATAATGGTTGTTGATGACCGAATGGATCTAGATGCAATAAACCATCAGAATCGGAGAGGGGTTGAAAGAGAGTGTGTTTGGAGAGGAGAGGGATGAGAGAGAGAGGGGTTATTACAGTTCTGCGAGAAGAAAAGAAAAGTAAACAGCAGACAAACAAACAATATATAAATAATGTACATATATCCCAAACACATGTATCCATATAATTAAATATATTAAATATATATATATGATGATGTGACTATAATCATATATATTAAATATATATATATATATAATTAATCACATGTATTTATTGTGTTGTAGGGTTAGGTACTAGACTACCTTACTATTGGTCTTATTATTTGTTTTTCTTACATTTGAAATATGAAACAAAAGGGAAAAGAAAGGCCTGACAATTTTTTTGAGCCATGTGCTACTTTTTTTATAATTGATACAGAGATTCAGAGTTTTAATTATTATTATAACATAAAGAGGAGCGAAGATACTCAATTCCTATAAGCCTATTGGACTATTTTTCGGATGGTTCGGATTTCGTCGGTTCCTAAGATTATACGGCGAAGGAAGCTTGACAACCAAAAATTCTACATCCACTGATCGGGAGCCCGCCCGAACTGGTATTGTGATTTTGCCCAAAGGATATTCCGGATTAGCGTTGAAGCTGAATAACGGATAATGAGTTGGAGACAGGTTTGACTCAGAGAAGTCGAGTTTAACCAAGGTCTTGTAGCACATAACTTCCGAAGTACTTCCCTGGTTAATGAGAACACGTTCAACGGTGAATTGATTTACGCGTAGTTCGATGACTGAGGGATCAATGTGGGGGAGGGTTACGCCAACTAAGGGTGTTCACGGGTCGGTTAAAATCGGTTTCACTATCAACTCGCCATCCGAACCGACCATCATGGGTGGGGGAATTTAACATCCGATTTCGACCGCAGGCAGTTCGAAATCGCAAGCATCGGGCCTTATGGTTTGTCGGTCAGAATCGGTCGAATTCTCAGGTGATTTTTCCATCAATAGCTTATCCTCCTCTATCGCATAAACAAATATACATATAGATAGATTTGCGAAAGACTAAGAAAGTGAGAAGAAGGTTGTGGTATGCTGTTGGCATTCATAGCTGTTTGATCTAATCCAAGAGCATCAAAACATAGCGATTTGGACAATGGTTGTTGATGACCAAATGGATCTAGATGCAATAAACCATCAGAATCAGAGAGGGGTTAAAAGAGAGTGTGTTTGGAGAGAGGAGGGATGAGAGAGAGAGGGGTTATTACAGTTCTGCGAGAAGAAAAGAAAAGTAAACAGCAGACAAACAAACAATATATAAAACATGTACATATATCCCAAACACATGTATCCATATAATTAAATATATTAAATATATATATGATGATGTGACTATAATCATATATATTAAATATATATATATATATATAATTAATCACATGTATTTATTGTGTTGTAGGGTTAGGTACTAGACTACCTTACTATTGGTCTTATTATTTATATTTCCTACATTTGAAATATGAAACGAAAGAAAGGTCTGACAATTTTTTTGAGCCATGTACTACTTTTTTTATAATTGATACAGAGATTCAGAGTTTTAATTATTATTATAACATGAAGAGGAGCGAAGATACTCAATTCCTATAAGTCTATTGGACTATTTTTCGGATGGTTCGGATTTAGTCGGTTCTTAAGAAATACAACTCACAGCCGACCGAAATATTGATAAATTTTACATACAAGAACCGAGCCGACCGTGGAGACTTTTCGAAACCAACCATAACCATTTGGTTCGGTTCGGTTCGGATTAGTCGGTTTCATCAGATGATTCGGTTTTTTGAACACCCCTAGCAGCACTACATCTTTTTATTGTTTCATACTATTCAAAGTTGGAGAAAGTTAGCGGTTTTGGACAATGGTGTTAACATGAGTGTCAAGAATCTAATTAAGACACCATAAGAGATTTTTTAGTATCTTACACTAGAAAGTTCCTATTATTAGAGTCTTGTTATGGGGCCCTGTTCCTGATTTATTTTCTAATAGAATTCATGTGTGCAAGTGTGTATCACTGAACTAACGGCTAGAGCTCTTACACTTCACAAGGAGGTTAGGAGATCGAAGTCCTCTGCTTTTGTATTGGTTCTCTCTTCCAGTTTGAGAGTTATATTTCAGATTACTTTTGCACCTCACTAAAGAATTGTATAAAATGGCTTACCTATAATGAGGTGTGACCATGTATATATATATATATATACATATATTAAAACATAATTTACATAATAGGAAATAGAATCAATTAATTACAATGTAAGAGGCAAGAAATCCGTGATTAGGAAATTACGGATTCTATTATAATATATACTATAAATAAATATTTCAATACTCCCCCTCAAGCTGGTTCAAAGATATCGACCAAACCTAATTTGACAATAGATGACTGAAGCAAAGAGGGTCCCACTGACTTAGTAAACATGTCTGCAGTTTGTTCAGAGGAAGAAACAAATGGTGTAACATGAGTTGCTTGAACTTTCTCTCGAATGAAATAAATATCAATCTCAATATGTTTAGTCTGCTCATGAAGAACATAATCTAAAGAGAACATGATAGTAGACATGTTATCACAATATAACTGAGAAGAAACGGTTTCCTCAAATCCCAATTCAGAAAGAATTGATTGCAACCATAAAAGTTTACATGTACCTTGAGCCATAGCTCGATATTCAACCTCAGCTGAAGAACGTGAGACCACACCCTGTTTCTTACTCTTTCATGATACGATTACCATAGGAAGCACAAAAACCTGAAGTCAAGCGCCTATCAGTCTTTGATTCAACATAATCTGCATTTGTAAAACAAGAGAGTCTAGTTTGGGTACTAGCTGAGAAGAATAGCCCCAAACCTAGACAAAATCTAAGATACCTTAGAATATGATAACTACATCAAGATGAGTCGTGCGTGGTGTATGCATAAACTGACTAACTATACTCACAACAAATGGTAAATCTGGTCTCGTATTTGTCAAGTATATCAGGCGACCTACCAAGCTAATACATAGCTAGATTAGGAAGAAGTTCCCCAAACTTAGCCAAGAGCTTAAGAGTTCGATCCATAGGTGTAGAGATAGGTTCACACCCAAGCATACCAATATCTTAAAAAAGATCCAAAGTGTACTTCCGCTGAGACAGGGAGATCTCTCTACGTGGCCAAGCAACCTCAATACCCAAAAAGTATTTGAGATGATCCAAATCCTTCATGTCAAATCCTCTCCCCAGTTCTCGTTTCACTTGAGCAATATCAGAAGCATCATCCCCAATAAGAATGATATCATCCACATATACCAACAAAATGGTAGAACAACCATTGGGACGATGACGAATGAAACATGTATGATTAGAGTGTCATTGAACAAAGTTCATGGAAAGGACAATAGAGTTGAAGCGATTGAATCAAGCACGAGAAGACTACTTGAGGTCATAAAGAGACTTGCGCAAATGACACACCTTCCCTACAAACTCCCTCTCAGCCCGAAACCGGGTGGAGGATCCATATAAATTGTCTCTAGCAAGTCACTATGAAGAAAATCATTATTGACATCTAACTGATGAAGAGGCCAAGAATGGGCTGCAGACAAAGAAACCACAAGGTGAACATAGGCCAAATTGGCAACATAAGGAAAAGTAGCACCAAAGTCTTGACCAGGAATCTATGTCAATCCTCGGGCAACAAGACTACCCTTGTAGCAATCAACCAACCCATCTGGAAGATATTTCACACTAAACACCCATTTGCATCCCACAATTGTGGCAGAAGAAAGTAATGACTTAAGAGTCCAAGTCTCATTTTGTTCCAAGGCCACCATTTTCGTATGCATAGCTTGGACCCAATGGTGATTCTGAAGAGTCTTAGAGATTGAGTAAGAAATAGGGACAGAGTCAAGTTTCCCAAGGAAAGCACAGTAAGAATATGAAAGACCAACATAAGACAAAGACTTGGAAAGAGGATGATTAGTGCTACTAGGAAAGCCATAACAGTTAGGAGGAAAACGAATACGAGCAGGATAATGATGTGGTGAAGGATGTAAAGGAGACGAAGTGACAAAGGGAGAAGCGGTACTTGAACATGAAGTGAAGGGGAAGTTGGAGGGGATGAAGCACATGGACGACGAGAGTAAGTCTGAAGAGGAGCAACAGGAGGTAGAGACCTGGGAGGTGACACATAAGACAGAGGACATGGAGTAGTAGAGTGAAAAATCATTACAAGACGA